GACTGATAGATAGAATCATAGTGTGCAACAAGTATGACGCCTATTTACAAGATTATATACAAATGGCAAGCAAGCTACTTCTTTTTTCTCTCCGCTCAATGCTCTTCGACATCAGTAGTGGTTTCATCACGAGCAACGACCCGGCAACGTCACCACACTGCCTCCGCTTCGCAGCTCTTGGCTGGCCGCTGCCAAGTCTGCCAAGCGCTCCAATTCATCTGCCACACTAACCGTTCGCGGTGTCATTTGTTTATCCCGGGGTCCAGACGACCTCTTCTGAGCTGGAGCCAAAGGATATCGGGCGCGAAGGTCTGTCATGCTGGTCCCCGCGCTAATCAACTCTGGTGCTGCAGTGCTGTTTATAGATGAGCGAGGACTTTGAAGTACAGGAATGCTTTGGGTGGTAAGAATGGCCTGCGGAGTAAATTGTGGGTCGTCAGCGCTTTGTTGGTTCAACTTTCTGCTGTCAGGTGTATGAGCTGATGGGGATATGGCTACCGAAGTGGGGGCCGTGGAGGAAAAAGAAAGGTGTGGAGGTTTGAAAAACGAGCCAGGGACCATAATAGTTGCGGGTGCGATACTTGTGGTGTCAGGGTCGCCGGAGGTGTGTCCCGCTCCCTCGGCGGCCGTTGCCTTAGGCTCATCTTGCTCTCGCGTATTGTGCTCGGTACCGCGCCGAGAAGCGGGCAGTGCATGGTCGGCTCTATCCTCTACGGATCGGGAAATCCGCTCTATTTGCACCCGCAAAGCATCGTACAATCCCCGTTCCATCGCGTACATCTCCTCCCTCAATTTTTGGATGTCCCCATCAATCCTTCTGTTTATGCCAGTAGCCATCTCATCCAAATTCTGTTCCAACCTGACAGTGTCGATACCTGAACCTTCTTCGGTTGCTTTCAAATCGACTCTCTGTTTTTCGAGTATGTCGAGGCGTTTGTATACCGTATCTCTCCATTGCTTCATGATTTGTATCTGCTCTGCAAGGGACCGCTCTTGCATTGACCGTAGCTCCTTATGGCGGTCCCTAGCTACAGCTTCTTCGTCTGTTAGTAGTCCCCGGAGACGGTCGTTCGTGATAAAGTCAGCGTCAAGGTGAGCACGAAGAGCGCGTAGTTCCGAACGGAGATTACTTTCCCAATCCTCAAATGTTGACTGCTGCAATCGATTGTGAAGAGCAGTCCGTATCTCACTAATGTTGTGCGCCAGACGATCAATGTGACCTTGAAGTTCCTCCCGGACTTCGCCACGGGAGAGAGCGTCTGCATCTCGAAGTTCCTGTACTTTGAAATTAAGTTCTTTTATGCGTGTGCCAACAGCATGAATTTGGTCATTTGTGGTTTCACGCAGCTTGTCCAGCGACGTCGCTTGGTTTGTAATTGCCTGGTTCTGCTCTTCTGTGTGCTTATGTATTATAGTGCGGATATGCGCATCTGTCGTAGACAATCGGGAATCTATAGCGTCGAACCTGATGCTGATATCGCTTAGGCGAGTTCGAACAGCCTCAATATCTTCCTTTGTTCTGACTGAGGATGATGTTATGCCGTCGTCAATCAATCGCTTGGTGTATTCCTTTGAGGTTTCTATGGCTTGCTTCATGATCGCGAGTTCTTCTTCCATTGCAATTATACGAGAATGGAACTGTGCTTCTGTCTCCCGTTTGCTTGCCGTCGTGGTAATTGCCTTATTTATAGCCGCAATCGACGCCTGGTTTTCAGTATGGCGTGATTCCAACTGCGATGTGAGTCTCTTCTCTACTTCTATCATTTCATTTCGGGTATTAAAACAATTCATCTCTTTCTTCACATTTGCAATATGTTCGATAATCTCCAACTCTCTCGTTTGCACATCGACCAGTACTTTCTTGAATCGCTTTTCTATATTCTCCATATCTAATTTTGTTGCCATTTCCTCGTTGCTTTGCGAACTCGCATTTAGCATCTCATCTATACGTGATAATCTAGTATCGAAGGCGATTCTTATCCGCTTCTCCAACTCCTCCACTTCCTTTTGTGTCAGGCGTACAGAAAGGTCTTTTTTGAAAGCTTCAAGGGTCTGATCCAGCTGAACAGCTTTGATTTTAATTCTTTCTTCGAACTTGGCTGTAAAGTCGGTCACTCGCGCATCAACTTCAGACATTGCTTCTTTGCACTGATCCTGGACTTTGCGTAAACCGTTGATGTGTGATTCAAGACGAGTTTCGGCTTCTTGAAGTCTAATCGTGCATTCTTCTTGGCCGCGCGACAGGTTTGCATTGCAGGAATCTGACTGAGCTTTTAGCTCAACTTCGAAATTGTGCATCCGCTTGCGTAGCGCAGATATTTGTGATTCCATATCGTCAAGTGCGCGTGTTTTCGATTGCGAAAGTTGGTTGGCTGTTTGACTGAGTTCTGTCTGCAATTTTCCTTCGATCACTCGCGCATCTGCTTCGTGCTTGTGCATGCGATCTGAAAGCGACTTCTCCGTCTCTTCAATGACAGACTTTAGGCTCAATATAGCAGTGTTTGTATTTTCGTGATTCTCCATTCTGGATTTTATCTCGGCTCGAAGAACTTCCTCCATGGACTCCACTCTTTGATCAGTGGCCTGTCCAATCAGTTTTATTGATTGTTCCATGCCTTTCACTGCACTTGACAGGCGCTCTTTAAGATCTCCCTGCTGTTGTCGAACCTCTTCAGCAACTTTGTTGAGAGAATGATGCAATGCCTGCGATGTTTCCTCATGTGTGCGCTTCCATATTGCGGCTGTCTCTGCTCTTCGGCTCTGCTCCTCAGACATTGTAGCCTCCATCCGCTGCAGTCGATTTTTTATTTTTTCGATATCCTGTGTGTAAGCGTGCTCCATAATTCGGAGTTTTTCCGCAAGGTATGTGAATGCTTTCTCTCGCTCAGCCCGCTCCGACTCCGTAACCCTTGCAAGTGAGGTACACAGGGCATCCATTTTCT